TTGGTTTCTGAGCAAAAAATTGACGAAGTTGCCCTCACAGCGACCAAAGGTTTTGCTAACAACCCAACTTCAAACTTGCGCCAAAATTCAACCGATGGTGCGATTATTTTGCAAAAATTGCCCCTCAGAGAAGGCATTTCTGTCCATTCCGCGAGAAACATTGGATTGGAAGTTTCAGCTTCCCACTGTTTCTGAGAAATAAATTTCCAAACCTGACCAAACACACTGTGGAACTTTCGCCTCTCACCCCAAATTGAATTTGACGCCAAAATTCAGACATCGCAGCACTGAAGCTGAAAAAAATTGAGCCGAAGGCCCAAAGCCTCCCTGATCTTGGGGCAAAACACCCCAATCTCTAGCTTGAGTGGTTTCTGAGAAACAAATTTTTTGGTGTGAACGCAATTTCAAGCTGGACCGAAAAAATCCAAATGTTTTTTGTCATGCACCAAAAAAACGCAGCAACATTTTGTCTGGCTCCAAAACACTGGACTAAAGGAAGCGGATCGGCCCTGTCCAGGACAGCGCTCAGAAGTGCTCAGAAGGCCCTGAGCTGGGGGAAAATAATTGTCAAAGTTGCCTGGGGCACACAGACAGGCATGTTTGCGTTGACGCCACTTGCATGTGAAGAAAAAATTGAAAACCGCCATTTTTTGAACTGAGAAATTTCTCACCAACCCCCAAAACACCTCTCGACTCAGACCGAAAATCAGCTAAAGCCCTGCAGGTTGCATTCAAGGAGAAATTAATTGCCCAACTTGCCTTAGCAGAATGACACACTTTAGTGCCTGAGCCTGGATTTGAGGCACAATGACAATTCAGGCGCAGGAAATTCAAAATTTCTCGGCTGCCCCCTAAACCCCACAAACTTCCGGTTAATCAGAGCTGCAAGGCGAATGTGCCTATCTGGTCAGGTTTCTGAGAAATAAATTTTTGAACGTCTGGCAGCCCATAGACACCCGAGCAGCAAAAAACCCGAATTTTAATTTTTTCAGTTTCAATCTGGAAAAATTGGGGTTTGAAGACCCTGTCAGCCTCCATCCAGAGCCGAAACTGGTTTTGCGCTATCCAGTTGGGTTCCCGAGAAATTAATTGCCCAAGCGTCCTGCCCCAATTGAAGGCTTTCGCACCGGGATCCCAGATTCAATGGACCCCAGAAAATCCCCAGGGCCATCGGGACTGCAGCAAAAAATCCTGGGTTCAGCCCTGGAACCTCGCCTATCCAGATCAGGAGCCCGCAGGGCTCTGCCGTGGATGGCTGCTGCGCAAATAATTGCCAAGCGTGTCCGTAACCGAGCAAATTGCGAGACTTTTGACCAACAGCACTCTGCTTAAGTTGCGCCCAAAAATCAAGGCGTTTTGGATCGAATTTCCCCATTTCCCCAAATGTTCACCAGGACTTGGTCTATGCAGGGCCTGAATGGCTGAGGGCTGGTGACGTTTGGTCTTGGAGAGAGAAGTTGCCAAGTCGGGCTCAAGAGTTTCGTTGGGCGTTGCCAGATGGGGCCCCAGTTCAAAGTGCCGCAAAAAATCAGCCCAAGCCACTGGAGGGTTGGAAAAATTCCCATCGAAAGACTGAAGCACCCCCTAGCCAGAGCTGAAGCTCCCAGATTTCTAGCTGGTTTGGGTGGGGAGAAAAAAAATTTCAAACGAAATCGGGGCTTTTGATCGCAAAGCAACTTCAAACTTGAGGCAAAGTCCACAAAGCGCTGCGTGGCGTCAGGAATTTCTGCCTCCATGGAGGAGGATTTTGGGCTGCGCGCCCAGAGCTTGCGAACACTGTGCGGCGTGCAGCTGAGCGACACTGAGTTGGCGCAAAGCGCAGCAAAACCTAGCAAAATAGTTACCGCTTGGTCTCCGATAAACAGATCGAGTGGGCGCTCGCGCCCCAACGCGTCAGCCCGTGCGTGTTATGTTTGAGGGAAAGTGATTCGGAGTGAGTTGATGAGGAGGAGCTCGTGCGGGCGCTCTAACTTACCGGCCGCCGCTGCCGTAGCTACTGTATGGGTAGTGGGGGAGCCTTGCATGTTTTTTTGGTCGTCATCAGAGCTGGCCAGTTCGGTGGAGGAGCGCAGGGGCAGCCCGAGCGAGAGGCGGCGCGCCGCCGCCGACGTGGAGCCGCTGGCGGAGGGCGCGGCTGCGCCCCCCTCCTTGTCTTTGGCCCCGCCCCTGCCGCCGTACTTGTTCTTCAGGTAGCGGGCCCAGGAGCTGAGGGCGGCGCCGTCCTTCTCCGCCGCCCGATCTGGCGAGGTCTCCTTGAGGGCGTGCGTGGAGCGGCTGCGCGCCAAGTCGTGCGCCGATTGGGAGGCGGCGGTGGTGTAGCCGCGCGACGCCAGATAGGCGCTGGGGTTGGAGGTGGTGGGCGAAATCGGAGCCGACTCCTCCGGCTCCTCCTCGTCCCCGAACTGCTGGCTGCTGCGGCTCCTCGCCAGCCGCTGCCTGCGCTCCTTCAGCGCCATGTACCTGGAGCGCCCCGTCGGGTATTTGGGGTCCTCCTCCGTGGGGTATCTGGGCGGAGGGTCCTCCTCCTCTGCAGCNCCCGCCGTGTCTCCTCCGGCGTACTTCGATCTGCTTACCGGAGCCTCCTCGGCCTTGCCTGGGTCCCTAGCGTGGGCGCTGCGCGCCAGCAGCGCCCCGATATCGCTGCGCGCCATTTTCTCCTCGCTTTTCTTACTTGAGGGCTCGTCGGACTCCTCCTCCGACTCGGTCTCCTCCTCGGAGCTGGTCTCCGACTCGTCCTCCTTGGTGGGCGCGGGTTTGCTGAGGAATCGGCTCTGGAACTGTTTGGGGGGCGCCTCCGGCGCCGGCGGCGCCTCGCTCCTAGCCAGGAATTTCCTCTTCACCTCCTCGGTGGTGAATGGAGCTCCGGTGCTGCGCACCGCCGATGAGGAGCTGCTTTCCGCCGAGGAGCTGGAGTCGCTGCTGGCCGATCGGGCGGTTTTCTTGTGGCCTCCGTCGGAGGGCCTACGAGGGGCCGTAGGCG